GAGAGAGAGAGAGAGAGAGAGAGAGAGAGAGAGAGAGAGAGAGACGATGTGCTGCAGATTAAGGGGTTTCCAACAACTGTAATCTTTGTGTTGGTAGAGAGAGAGAGCAATTGATTCAATGGGTTGAGGAAGGGGGGGTTGTTTCCAATCCTCTAAACCTTTTCTTGGTGAGTAGAGTGAGAGGTCAAATATGAAACCAGGGGAATTCCTTGGGCCAATCCCTAAAGAGGAGAGCTTTCCTTGGGTCATAGCATGAGGGGTGTCTTACCTTATCATACATAACACTTGATAAATAAAAAAAATACGAGCTAAAAATGAGAGAAGTGATCTTGGCTAAGCAGTTTGGAGAGAGAAAGAGAGCCGAAGGGAGATATGGGGAAGGGCAGTTAGAAAGAGAAGAGGTGGGGGCAGGTAGAGAGAGGAGAAAGAAGGCAATAGAGAGAAAGGCAAGAGTAGGAAATTAGATGGAGAAAGAAGAGGTTGAAATAAGAGGCGGTAGAGAGAGAGAGAGTTGTTGGGCGGGAGGAGTGCAAAGAGGCTTACAAGGGCTCTTACCAGCTGGCCGGTTGTACCTTTTTATATTTATCCAAATTTCAATACAAGTATAATCCAATGGTCAATAGTTGGGGTCCTATGGACCTGGCATGTGTAAGGATCTCACTTGATCATTATTCTCTCTGTAGGGCAGTGATTTCATGCAACGGTTGTATCATAGTATATTGCAACCACACTTCTTGAAAACCATGTTTGTGGTATTTGTATGACGCAAGATTTTGCACACACACTCTCTTCATCTCAATAATCAATCTAAAAAAAAAAAAACTAATTTGCAACCTATATATGGTCAAAATGAATCCCCTCCAACAATAAATCTAGACTGTCAATTTGATGAATTTCAATATCTAGACCTTTATGAATTCAAAATCAGTCGTTTCTTCTTTAATATTGTTAATCTAATGATAATAAAATTATCTAAAAAATTTGGAAAGGAAAAAGATCATTCTAAGGCCTAGATCTAAACATCTCACAAAAATGGACGGCCTATATTAATTGGGCTAAAAAAATACTTTCTAGGCTGCATTTTCAAATTTTTCGTTTTTGTGATTGTTCATTAGAATGAAAACAGTGTATATTTTAAAATCTGGATCAAACAAATTGCCTTAACATGGTTTTTGAAGGTTGTTGCATTATATTATTATGCAACCATTGCAATATATATATATATATATATATATATATATATATATATATATACACTACACTACACAC